GATACTACCAAATTTATCTTAAAAAAATGCGAATTTATTCGAAAAATTGTGGAATCTTTCTAATTTTCCAGTCAATTTAAGGCTCAATTTGATTTGAACTATCTGAAAATTCTATGAAAAACGTTCATAATCTTTCTCAAAAATTAATATTTTATCAGAATACAGGCGCCTGGCTTATCAGCGTTCTTTTTTAGCCTGGCAGATAAATCTTCGATGGATATAAATAAATACTACAAATATAGTTGAAAAAATGTTGGAAAGTAAATGACCAGACAGAAAAAAAATACAGACACTTCAAACGGGACGAAATTAACTTTTGACTGTCTTTAAAGAAATACCTGACAAATGACAAAATTCAACGGGGTTCTTTCTAAAAGGATTCTCGGCTTAACTTCCTGGCTTAATAGAGGTACTTTTCTCACTGAACGTAAGTACTTGTAAGTACTTCAGTAATCGATAGGAGCCCCTTTAGGACGTGAATATTTCGGAGAAAGTTTCCTTGTAGCCGTTAATGTTTGCTTCTCATTGGAAAAAAGTCTGCTCGTCATTTTCAGTCCTCTCTCAAGAATAAGCGAAGTTGCCAACAATTCTGCCATTATTTTTCAATTTCAAGGCGTAGAAAAAGGTTAAATATTGAGAATTGTTCAAAATCTCGGGAATCCTGAGCAAAATATCTGAACTCAACGGAATTAATTTTGAAGGAGGAAAATTCGTGCGAATCCAAGCTTTATATGTTGATGATAACACGACTTGATCTCTTTCGATTCAATTGTTAAAGAATTACAATACGGTTGCAATAAGGAAAGTAAGACTTTCCATCCACATCAAGCCATATTTCAGGAAAAGATGGGTCTCATCAATAAATCAGAAATAAAAAAGGAATGAAAATATTCACACTAACATACATTTATTAAATAGAAATAGTAGAAAAATTTACACAGTACGTATGAAATCCTAAAATATTAGGTAAAAATAAAATTAGGCTGATTTTAGTAATATATCTCGTAAAATAAAAAAGATAGATACATTTGAAAGAATTAATCTTAGTTATTTCATTTTGATTTTTAGGATTCGGGTAATGCATACAATTTTGATGTGATCTGATTTGATGGGCAATGTCACATATTACTCTGTTAAATTTCCTGTGATTTTACCTGGAATACACGAATAAGCGGAAATAATCAAAATGTGTCCACTCTCATAAACTGTCAGTGGTTCTTTTGGAACACAATAATCTAGGAAATTTTTTATGTGATAATTAAAAAAAATCAGCACAATAAATCCAAGCGATCGATACGCGAAAGGAAAAAGTGAATGAAAATGCAATGTCTCGATATGAAGAGATCAAATACTGATTTTTTCAGGTAACATTTGTACCTAATTATCTAGTTTTTTTTTGCTTGAAGTGATCACCGACAAAAAAATTATTCTTTGAATCTACTCGTGATATCAGAGAAAAATACTCAAAAATATAGTTTTTTAGGTATCCGTCGGAAAGCATAATATCATTTTTAGGAATAATTGCAAGTTTAATATTACGTCATATTATTAGGAACTTAATTAAAAATTATGCCACACAAAGGCAATATCCTATGCATAAAGAATAGTATTGTTTTACATACGCGTGAAAAAAGAAAGGCGATTTATTCATTAAAAACATTAAATTGTGAATTACAAAAATAGTGAAAAAAGAATGAGAAAGTTCGAGCAGGGTAAAATCAAAGTAGACATTTTCAATTCGTTATAGCTATTCTATAGAATTTCAGGATATAAGTCTCAGTCAAAAAGAATTACTGAACTCTTTCAAATTCAATTCAAGACATATACTTGTGTCTATGTTAGGAACGTAAAATCAGTATAGCTTAGCCTCCCATGCATCCCATATCATACATTTACGGGCAGAGCGGCACTTTTAATTCATTATAAAAATTATAATTATTATTTCTTTCTTTTAAACGTCCCAAATTATGTTTTTCCGACTTTCCCACATACATTGTTCATTCCAAGGTTTTGCCTGCCTATCTAGATAAGTCAATATTTTAAGGAACTAACTTCCCTGGGTTGAATAGGATAAGTTGATTCGAACTTTCCGAGTCTTGAATACTGTAAGGGCAGTTAATGAAGTAAGATGTGAAGATTAGGTACTAGATCTTCGTCTCTTGAAACAGACAGGCGTGTGAAGCAACTGCTAAGACGACTCCTTTTGAAACTGGCTCAGTTGCCTTTCTTACCTAGCAATTTGATTTTTCTCGACATAGACACCTGACTCGAATAGTGAGGGCATGAAACGAGCAAGACGGATGGTGTCTACTTTTCATGATCAAGTTTGAAATTTCAAGTGAGATATTTCGAGAAACCTCTGAAGGCGTTTGTAAAATAATTTTCAGATTGCAGATAATCAGCCCAAGCTAGAAAATTATAAAAATAATGCGAAGATCGCCTACACCTCAGTAACTTGAACCGAAATCCTTGGTATCATATTTGAACGAAGTTCAGTCTGTGTGAATGAAGTATTTTTTTCCATGTTTTGGTGACATATCAAGCCCTTGAAAAGCATGTTCCATATTTTTTTAGGGGCTCCTAATATTTCAAGAAATATTCCAGTGAGATTTCGAATCCCTCCTATTTTTCTTTTATTGCATGACACTCTGGCTAAAGCACCGTAGTAGTGAGAGTATGAACACTGAAAGATCCATTTTTGATTGGCTAGGACAAATTGGTCTTTATGGAGCTCTTTGGATCGAAATATTACCGGAAGTTGCACGCAGATTATTCAAAATGACAGAAAATGAAGTATAATTTGTCTTTCCTACCATGCACTTCACTCAAACTACATAATAAGAGGCATTAACTCAGTCTTGAAATCAATTTTTTGCATTACAGTTAAGAATTTTGCCATTTAAACCTCTTTTATAATAAGGTTGGTAACAATCGAGAAGCTCTAGTAGCAATGACTTTTATAAATCATCACTCCTCAAAAATTCTTCAGAAAACTGCTAAAGGTCACTTTTTGGAGAATCCTTTTCGGTTATCTTTTAGGTCAAATTTACGAGAACAAAATGTCTTTAAAAATACTACCACTTTACATGAGATAACTTAACATTTTTCAATCATTATAAGTGTTAGAAAATTCGAGTAAATCGCTCAAAATTTTGAGAACACTTTCCTCACTCAAACTTTACCTTTCGTAAATTTTACTAAAAAAAAAAAAAAAAAAAAAAAAAAAAAAAAAAAAAAAAAACAACGAGTCTTCTAAAACATACATATTACCACCTCACAAATTGCAGCTTTTTAAAGACTTGAATTTTTAAATTTACAAGATTCTTAAAAGTTGTTTTAACAGTCGTCACAACAAAGCCTCCCCCCTCCTCCAGTATTGCCACCATTTTTCTGGATCCTAAAGGTCTCCATGGAATCCAGAGTCCATACTTTCTCTTCAAAAGTACTCTAACTTCGACAAAACTCTAGTTGAGTTCAGTCTGCACTTTGATCAACCTTGGTTGGCGTAGCGCTAGCATCGTCGACGACTGTGGCTCCCTCTGGCGGCAACTCCACCTCGTTATGCGTCGGCAGGGTTTCCGGAACTTTGGGCGGCTTGACGTGGAATTTGTAGAGCGAGAGAAGCCACGTCAGGACGTGGAGGAGGAACAGAAATGCCGTCGTGATTGAGACCACCATTACACTTTTGACAGGGTACTGCCAGTTCAAAATATTGTAGATGTACCGTCGGTGCAACCTGGAAAAATCAGACAGGAATAATTGTGAGCTGTAGCTGTAAGAATGTTCTGCAAAATGGATCGCACTGTGAAATAGATTGGTAGAATTTACCACTCCTTCACGCTGTATTTCACGCAGCGTGAATTCAAGGGCGATTCTATCAGAAAAATGGTTACCTGTACCAGTATATGGTAACATTTACCTCTCTTCTGACAGAATTGACGCTGTGTGAAATACCGCGTGGAAGAATGGTAAATTCTACCAATCTTTTTTTTCAGTGCGACAAGGATCGGCAATGTATGGATGAACCGGTGGACAAGATACAATTTTAAGCATATTATTACACGTTTCTTAACCAGATATGAACCGATTATCTTCCAAATCACGTAAGTGCCAAATTGCGAATGGGAGAAAAATAAGAAATTTATTCGCCTTGTTGACAATCTTCGAATTCCAAAGAATGCATGTTCATTTAGAAGGCTATTTTGAAGCCAAAAATGATTGATTATACCAGAGAAAACAAAGCAAAATAATCCCTCTACCACAAAAGTAGAGATGGGCGCTTACGTGATTTGGGGAATAATCCGTTCAATTTCGCGCAGAACACTAATCGCGCAACGAAAGTTACTGAAATTTGTGAAAAATTATAACATTTTTCCTGAAAATCCTCGGACACATTAGGTCGAATTGTGATCATAATTATTTAAGAAATTTTGGAAAAAGTGTACACAAATCATCCAGGAGATTCGGTAGTAATACAGCAACGTTTAAGTGTTCAAACGGCGTTCTTCCCTACTGCCGTGCTACCCAAGTAGCACAGATTGCGATAAGTAGCAATTACATCGTAACAATATTGCAATGCCACTGAGTGTTGTGTATGTTGCCTAGCTCCTATTTGAAGGGGCCCCTTTATTGAAACTTATCGCAATGAAATTGAAATAAGTATCAATTTTTCAATGCATCGCATTTACCCTATCATTCTGACGCATAGAGCTCATTTTCATAATTGTTTAAATTCTGCATAAATCGACTAAATGATGTAAACATATTGCAATTTAATGGGGGAAATAATTACAATTGTGTTGAAATCAAATTGCAGTTCAATTTCAATATTTTCGTTGCAATGTGCTACTTCGGTAAGGGAAAACGCCGTGTGACCATCCAGATGTTACCAAACTGCTCCCCATGAAACATTTATCTTTGAAGAAATTCATGCATATTTCTTTATTAAATCTTCCAATACCGTAGATTTAATTGCGATTGAAAGTCTATGAGAATTTTGGGGAAGCTAGACACAAATTTCCCTGAGAATTCATATTTTTTCAAAGAAATCTTGGCAACACCTGATGGCTCATACTGCGTTTTTCCTCAGCACGGCAGCCTTAATCTTCGGGAGCTTTGATTTCGGCCCGACGAGAGCCCAGGGATCCGGCACATAAACAGGTCGAAGTAATCGTGAAAAGTTGCGGCTTTGTGGCCGTCGATCGGAGTTTAGTGCTTGCAAATTTTAGTATTTCAATAAAATGAGTCGGTGAAAATTTATAACCGCCATGAACATTGGCGCGGACCGCGGGACCGTACTCCTCTCTGCGAGCCGTCGATAAAAGCGCCATCAGGGCGGTTTACAAAAACGTAACCGTGCAGATAAATCTGCTCCGAAGGGGTTGTTCGTCGCTCACAGGCACAACGTCTAAGACCATTCTGCTCGTGTATAACTCTCAGATACCCTATAACCTCCGCAAATGGACCTAAAAAATGGAGTTAGATGGCGTTAAAGTATTATGTTTCTATAGGGTTCCTGCAGTATGTTGTCGCCCACGAAAAGGGGTAAATGTTCACCCTTAAAAATGTTCATCCTTATTAACACACGAACAAAAGGATTCTTCTAAAAATGTGTTTTTTGGGGGGTTTTTTTCAATTTTTTATTAGTTTTTAAGTTTGACATCTTTGAGAAATAATTGAAGAATATTGAAAGACAGTTTAGAGAACAACTATCGCATTTCTAGTTTTGGCAGTTCTTTTTCAATGTTAAAAAAATCGAAGTAAAAATATTCTGAAGAAGATCCCAGAAAATCCAATTTTTAAAAATATTTGAAAGTGTAAAAATAAAACTTAAGGATTGCCCCTATAAACATTTCAAAAACTTTTCCGTGGAAGACATTTTAGGAAATTACCTCAGCATTCTTAGTTTCGGCAATTCCTTTTTAATGCTCAAAACGAAGAAATAAATATATTTCAGGGATGTCACTGAAAATCCCATTTTTAAAAAAAATTTGACCATGCAGATCATCGAAAGCCGATTTTATAAGATCAATAAATTTTTTTCCGTACGTGCGAAAGGTAGACGCTTTGCAATGCAAACAAAAATTGCAAATTTTTCAAATTTTATTGTAGTAAAGTTCAAAACAATGGGCCTTTTCAGTCAGTGAATACACAATGAACTTATCATCATAATCATCTGATCCAATAGCAATAATTACCCATGTAAATTAAATTTATTGCAACCTGCACTGATTGGGAATGACTCCGGAAATTTTGAGTTAGTTTCGTGGTGAAAAGTAAAAAAAAAAAAAAAAAAAAAAAAAAAAAAAAAAAAAAAATAACTCAACTCATGGGAAATACAATCAAAGCTGTGAAACCGTAGAGTTTTCTCAGACTACGCCACGTTTGCTTTTAGCAACTATTCGACGTTGTGCCTGTGGACGTCAATTGGTAGCCCATCTGCAGGGATTGAGCAGGGTCGGCAGGGATCGTTGGGAGCCGTCATTGTCGCAACAGGAAAATAATAACCGCGAATCGGGAATCATAACTCAATGATGCGATGCCAAATCGTTCTGTAAATCTCGAATTTTGGTAAGAAGAGCCATGTTAAAATTGTACCAAAAGGACTGGCGGGTAGCTCACAAGTCCGACGGGGGCAACTCACATAGCCATTGCTGTAAGTGGTAGCCTGGGGAAAATGAATACACTTCAAGGTAGTTTATGTCTACACAGGTTCCGTTTTATTGCAATGGTTCTTTCGGAAAATAACTAAGGTAGCGATCAAAGAAATCAGAAACACCTCCGTTTTTTATGCGACGACCCGTGATTTTACGATCATAGAGAGTAGACCCTCGATTCAGAATATAGAACACCAAAGACCTCAGTGATGGGGTCCGGGGTTCGGTTTTTATAAACTGGAAATTTTCGTTACCTAGACCGAATACTTCAGTGTTCGGTATGAGCTGAAGCTCAGATTTTGTAAGGGAAGCTGTCATTTTTATGCATAGTGCGTTATCAAAAATCACAGTTTTTCAAGTTTTTGCACAGCCTTGGAATCGGTACTTTCAAATTCTCCACACTGGGGGAAATAATACATTGGATCTAGAGTCCAGACTCTTAAAAACCTCGACAAGAAAAAATACTCTTGATTCAATCAGATTTAAGCTTAAATCAAGAACCAAGCCTCTTAATTTGAGCGGATTTCCTTTTGATCCTTTTAAGCTTAAATCTGCTTGAATCAAGAGTCCTTTTTCTTGTCAATGTTTCCAAGAGTCTGGACTCTAAATCTAATGTGTTTTTTCCAGTGTAATTTAAATAAAAAAGTCTCAATCTCGCATAAAATTTGGCTGCATTGTGATGAATATTGCATCCTCTCACAATGCATGCAAAAAACAGCTCGGTGCACAATGAGCTCTGCACTTTCGAAGAAAATGATCAATAAAAACTTGACTACTGGGACCATGACGTCATACTCTGATGGCGATAGGCTGCTTAAGCTAACATCCCGAGGAGCATCCCTAGTTTATATTCTCATGAGTATAAACCAGTCGAGTATCAAAATTCGACGGTCTCATTTCAATAGCAAGGATTTGCGACCATTCCTCACAATAATGCGTACTCTGAGTCACGTTCAATTTCCCTTTATTGACGATGAATATTTGACTTACATGCAGAGCACTACAGGCTGAATTTGCTCCGCGGGATATGTCTTTTTTGCGTTTCCAGCCGGATGTTTGCCAAACTTCTTGCAAAAAAATAGAATTTACGAATCTCTAATCCTCCGGTATTTTCAAAAGCATACATTCATGTTATTGTAACCATTCGATGCTGTCATTACTTAGGGAGAGGCGAGGCGTGAATGATCTATTATCGGTTTTCCCCATTTGAAGCTATGGAAAAGAATCGACCATTGAGGTGTTCCTTGTGAACACCCTGGTCATCGATCCTTTTCCCTAGGTTCAAATGGCAGACAAATTGATGCATCGTAAAGCACGCCACGCCGCCACGCCAATGTTCCTCCACTTGATTAAGACATGAAGGCCTGTTTGTCCGGCTCTCATCATAATATCAAACATGCAAAAAAGTAATAAAATAAAATGACAATTTGTCTTTATGCTGACACCAGTCTTCAAACATTGTAAGTGTGGAAATCGCACAATTTTTTGCCAAATGCCAATTGAATTACATTTTGCAAAAAGGAACTAAGATCATTCCAATGTTGCAAGGATTGTGCAACTTACATTCATTGCAGTGAAATTACTGAAATCACGCAACAAATTACATTTACAAAGGTAATTATCATCTTGAATTTATAGTTTATTGAGAGTAAAGATAAAATTTGTTTCGAAGACCAGTCTATATTCGCAAGGGAAAATAAATTGCACAATATTTGCGAAATTGGAGCGGTCTTGGTTCCTTTTTGCAAAATGCAATCCAATTGATGAGTAACTTTTTGATGATTTAATTAATCTAAACGCATGAATGTAAGGGCAATCACATTGCTGGGCGCGTTTTTGCAAATCAGGTTTAGGTGTCTGATGCACAGCACTTGAGTCATGAGTCATCGTCAGACAACCCGCGCCTTGATTTCAGAAAATAGCTTTTACACTATAAGGAATATGGTAGAGTGAGATAAACTTATTGTCTCTTGGCGTATTGACACTATTTCGAAGCTGCTCTGTATAAAAGATATCGCTGAAAAAAAAAGTTCGGTCATGTGAACCGAACGTTGGGTATTCCATATATTTTCCCAACTATTCGGTTTGTCAAACTGAACTTTCGGTTCGTGTAACCAAACGCTCGACATTTAAGACCAAACTTAGTTCGTCTCACTTTATCGCGCAAGTTCAGTTACACGCACCGAGAGTTCGGTTTGACAAACCGAAAATGAGTTTGACAAACCGAAAAATCAGTGTGACTAACCGATAAATCGGTTTGATAAACCGAAAAATCAGTTTGACAAACCGAATCAGTTTGAATAAAATGGAACAGCGAACTTTTGTACGTACGACCGAACTTTTTTTTTTTCAATATATAGCACTAAAAATGAAGGTGCAGAGTATTAACAATCGCAAGACCTAAACAGGAAAGGAAAAATCTAGCGAATTAAGTCGGCGATTTGGCAACGACGAGGTCTCTTTTTGCGAGCGCGGAAAAAAGCGTGGAGCTTTTTAACCCGAAAAGCAATCATTATAAATTGATGGCGCTTCGTGCCGATTCCTGGGCGAAAAGCACTCATGATCAATTGAATTATCCTATCACTATCTGGGGCCATAATCGGTCGACGCGAAACGATGCAGTCGCTAACAACATTGTAAGTGCAGTTCACTCCAATCAGAGCTACCCTCAATCCCTCAATCTATTCCTCGAATTGGGACTCGCAACAACAAAGGAACGCTCTCTCCAATAGTCGAATCGATTCCGAAAACTTCGATTTTAATTTTGCGAACGGTGAAAATCACTTTCATCCGTCAACAATGAAATATTTTCGTGGAATTTTGCATTCGTGTGATATAAGTTTTACAAATTCTGCCGTGCTAAGGAAAACCGCCGTATGAGCCTTCAGACGTTGCTATGTTTCCTCCGATAAAAACCGACAATACTAGGGAATTTGTGAATATTTTTTTCCAGCACTTTCAGACTGTTTAGCACGCAATTTAATTTGAAATATCTGAAAGCTTAAGGGGAAATATTCATGAATTTTTTCAAAAATATATGTTTTATCGAGGGAAATTTGGCAACTCTCGAATGTTCATACGGCGTTTTTCCTTAGCACGGCAGAATTGCTCATGCTTTCATTCTGAATATTGCTTTGTCTATCTTCGCTGTGTGTTTTGAGCTCGCCCACTCGGGAGAGCTCTTTGCGATCGATTTCTTTTAGCATTGGTAGTGTCCGTGGCGACGAATGGATGGTTCTCGTTGCCGTCGGAGGAACGGCCAAAATCCCATTGATTTCAAGGTCTAAAAGTTGAATTTTCGCGGGTTACAGTTTTCCTCCGTCGAACATTTCCGTTCCCTCATTCAACTGGGGATTAATTGTTCCTCGTTTGCTACACTAGAGAGCAGCACTTTCCAGTGGCCGAGCATATCATAGCATGTTGCTATGGTTTTATATCAAATAACCTAATTGTATGTTATCATCCTCTTATCTTTTCAATGCAGTTTTTGTGTGCAGTTGCACTTGCAATTGTTATTATTTCTTAAAATAAAAAACATGGTGACCTCGACGTGATTTAATAATTTGTTCAATTAATTTTAAGTTACTAAGACTAAGATTGAGATTTGCGCATAATTAATGGATAATCCTTAAGATTGCCGTTATTGGTACCATAGAAGGTTAATTAACCTCAAAATAATTGCATGCTTGAGAGCTCGGTTGAGACTCGCATTGGGATCCTTTCAGAGTTTGTTTAAACCTCATATTAAGAATGCTTTAGGATTCGTTTGAGCCCCTCGCATCAAGAATGCTTGGGAATTCGTTTGAGCCTCGCATTTAGAATGCTTGAGAATTCGTTTGAGCCTCGCATTGAGTTTCTTTAGAGTTCGTTTTAACCTTAAAATACAGATGCATGAAGTGCTCTTTCGAGCTTCGTGCTATTTATAGTGCGCGAGGTGCTCCATTGAGCCACCCCATACCTACAAAGGCGTGATGTGCTCCATTGAGCCACTCGCATACAAAGGCTTGAAGTGGTCTCTCGAGCTCCACGCTAAAATTCAAGTGAATTCCTTTTCAGCTCTTAGTGTATACCATAAGTATTGTGTAAGAATTATGGCAGAAACGTTCCTCCAAACCGTGCTAAATTATAGTTTCTTTGAACTCTGTGCCGATAAAAATTCAGAATTCCAGACTGCCAGCTTAACAAAGTATAACCTTAATTCAAGTTGGCGACTTGATTTAAAAAAAAAAATTAAAATTAAATCATATGATTTCATTACATTGTTGACAAGTTAAGAAAAGCTTATCAACGATGAAAGCCAGAAACAAAAATGCGATGGCAAAAATAGCCATTGCAACATTTGCCGCAAAATCACATTCATAAAAGATAATTCCATTTCTCTCTCTTTATTTCTCTTTATTTATTGTAATGTGAAAAATTTGTCATATGAAATTACGTCATAACATTTTGCACCGGCATGTAACCTCTGATAATTGGGTAAAGATTCATTTAATACATATACAATTTCAGAAAAAATCATTAATAGTTGTTAATAGTTTCCCAAAGGCGAGCTCTCCAACACAGTAGTGTTGGAACCAGCAGCTTGTTTTTCTTTTCTGCCGCCAAAAACGGACAAGAGAAAAGGTCTCATTGTATCCCTGGTAAAAATTGGCGATAAGAGCTGCGTTGCAAAATACCGTAGGAATTCTTTTAGCCGGCTAAAGAAGGCTACAGAAAATCATATAGCAGGCTGTAGAATGCGGAGAAAATCATACGGCCAGGCTATACGAAGCTATAAAAAATTATGCAGCCGGGCTATAGTTCCTATATCCGGGCTTTACACTTTATCGCCTGACTGTTGCTTTTTCGCCATCGTCGATTATAAAAGGCTATAAGAAATTGTGTAGAAATTTGTGTGCTTTGGAAATCATTAAGTTTGATACGGAACCACCTTAATATTTACAAAACACACGTTATATTTTCCTTTAATACATATTTTTTTTCATCAATTAAAATGAGAATAATCCATACAAGATGTGCAAACATCTCAAAATCATGAGTTGAATAACGCTGACTCCGTCAGATACACAGTGGAGCGGCGACGCACTGGCGCCTACTAACCTAACAGGGATACTTCACGCATTGCGCAACGCGTGAAGTATCCCTGTTAGGTTTGTAGGCGCCATTGCGCGTTTCGCGCTGGCTGCCCGCCTGCCACGGCGCTTGAAGCAACTATTTCACACCAGAGGTATGAAATGTGTAAGGAAATTACGAGGAATACTGAAGAATGTGATTGGACGGGGAAAAATTGTTAATTTAACAGCAAATAAAAACTGAGGAAAACTAAACAAAAAATACGCACACACGAAACAAGAAAAAACAGACCAGTTGTGACGTTTCAAGCAAAATCCTTTCATAGCTGTAAGAAACAAAAAAGTAGTAAGAAATTAATAGGAATTGAGGCACTACTTAATTTTTATTAGTTTTTTTGTAATTTTATGAGATCAAAAGTAGCAGGTCTTTGTTGTTTCAAAACTTCATAATTTCTGGGTTTAAAAAAAAAAAAAAAAATAACAAAATAAAAAATCAATCATTACCGCACACATATTTGTTTTTGAACATTTTGTTAAAAATTACGATAGGTTTACCTGTCAGTTCCTCCGGTGAGATAATACACGATAGAAAAGAATATGTAAAGGACGACGAAGAAGAAAGGATAGCAAAAGTCAGCCAGCCTGAAGGGGTGGGCCACTAGAAGAATGTCAAGGAACATCAGCGCCGAATTCACACCATGCACCAAGAAAGTCATCACCGTCAGAGGGTCAATTTCTGCAAAATGAGAGGAAGATAAATATCAATTGAATGGTAATTACGAGGGTTCATGGCAACGTTGATAAAATATTTTATTGAAAATGCTCAGTTAAAATTTAGTATGATGTTTTAATGAAAGAGCTCAAATAGTGTGGATTATAAGTTTCAATGAAAGAGCTTACGTAAAATTGAATACAAAGAGTAAACTTTATTTTCAGACTGCTATAATCATATCGACGGTGAAACTACCAAACCACGTATCTCGTTTGCGGTGTTTAAAAATCTACGCTCACATTCTATTTTTTGAAGTAGACCAAATCAATATCATTCCTTTAAATTTTCACGGAATTTTCTCCGCACAAAGAGGAAAAATCACAGAAATTTTCAAGACTGGATGTTAAGAAGTTTTTCATTTAAAAAATAAAGTATGACAGGAAGTCTGTGACGTCGCAAACCGAGATACGTGGTTTGGTAGTTTCACCGTCGATATGCGATTAAATTAAATTAGTTTACCTTTATCGATGGTGAATCTGCAAAACCAAGCTTCTCGTTATGTGACGTTATGGACTTTCTGTCATGTTTTTTTTCTAATTTTTTCCCCCTTTTTTTGTAGGAAAACTGCTCAATGGCAATCGGACTTATTTGAGGCGAAAGAAATACTAAATTCATTCAACATGAGCTCTTAGATTCATAAGAATACATTCATGACAGGGGCCATGTCACTTTGGATATAGTTATTTTTGATTTAAACAAATCTAATTCTTCAAAACTGCTGTGAGATATTTTCTTTCTGCAAGGAAAATTTCTAAGGAAACCTCAAAAAATGATGTTACTTCATCCTCCTATATAAAATAAAATTGGAGCGGAGATTGTGGACACTACAAAAGAAACTTGGTTAGGGATCTTCACCGTGGATATGAGACTCTGCTGTCGATTACAATTAAGTCTTTGACGCAAGACGTAACGCGGCCGGCGCTTTATGGCATTGAAAGCGCCTTCAAAACGGTTCGACGCAAAAAACTAAACAATACCCACGCGAACGTATGAAACGAAACAAAAAAGAAACAGTAGTTGAGCTTAATTAATCCACCAACAAATCCACTAATAAACCACCAATTCTCGGATTGGTTTTTCATGTTTTTACTATTTAAAAGAAATCTGAAAAACTAACAGTTACAATTATAAGCTATTTAAACAGAAAGAAATACATAACAAAATCGATCTTTGATCCTTAATTGATTTTACGTGATCAATCTAAACTTGAACTTTATCAATCGAATATAATCAAAGGCCATAATTAATTTAATGGAGTACTTACTAGGATCATATACAGCAGCCCAATAGATAGCTGTGATAGCGAAAGCAGTCGGCACCGACGCGTTGTGGACAATCCAATATGTTTTGTACAACCGAGACATTTTAACGTCCTCATCTTCTAAATCTAGACAAAGAAAGATAGAATAAACTCAGATTTTGCTTTATGAAACAGGTGAAAAACAGGTTTATTGCAAAAAATGCAATAAGCTCTATACACCCTTTAAGGAAAAATAAATAAAACACTGACACACACTGATTGACAACACTGACTGATTTTTAAACTGGGCAAAGACTTAAAACTGATGAGCCAATCAGGGAGCAATGCTGACATGGCAACACTCTCCTTCAATTTGTAATTTGAATCACTAAATACAAAAAGGGCACATGTCCAGAAAACCAAATTGTTCAGGAGACACAAAGAACTGTTTATTTCGTGGTAGATATTTTTTGGAAAGTCGTTCAGTTTAAAAAAACCGGCGCGGAGCGAAGCGGAGCGCCGTATTTTTTTAAACTGCCAAGAGCATTCCAATGTCGCTAGGATTGTGCAACTTACATTCTTTGCAATAAAATTACTGGAATCGGTGCAAAAAATTAAATTGACCAAGGTAATATTTGTCTTGATTATCATCGATTGGGAGTAAAGATATAACTTGTTTAGATTATCAGATTATACTTGCAAAGTAAAAAGAGTAGCACAATCTTAGCGATATTGAAATGCTCTTGGTTTTTTTTTTTTGCAAAATGCAATCCAATTTTCCCACCATTATGGCACGTTTGAAATTCCTTCGAGTCTTTGGACTTTTTAAAAAGCGGCATGTTTGGGATTTTGGCTCCAAAAATGCGCAATAAATCATCACGTAATCTATTCATCTGGTACTTCCAGAGTATTGAATGAAAAACACAATTGTACACAGTGACCCATTTCGTAGGAGAGACCTAGTGCCTAGGTGGCTGTTGAGAAGTGGCACCCGCATGGAAGCCCAGGCCGGTGCTTGCCGTTGACGCATCTTTGATAATCCTGTTTGTTTTATGTAGGGAACTCGTCCGAAAACAATTATCTCGGCTAAATAAAAGAGCATCTTTGCGGAAGGACTTAATTGATTCGCCACATCACCGCTTCCTTTCCGACTTTCGCTACTTCCTTCCTTCCTTCCTTCCTTTCGTCCTTCCTGCCTCCACCCCGATCCGCCCCCAGTTCACAGGAGTTGCTCTCGGGAAATCTCACTGGGTTTGCCAAATTTAATAGTCGAGATCCCATTCTATTTGTATGCAAAATTTTGCAATTGTTAACTATAATTTCTGGCTCCAATCAGAGACAACGTATGCACCGTTAGTTTCCCCATGTACATTGGTGTTTTTACCGATGAGCCAGAAATTATCGTTTCTAATTGCAAAATGAAGTCCACGCACTTATACCGCTTGCCATTTTTCATTGTAGCATGAGAAAGTTTCATGATTTTGGGACGAGCCGGGATGCTTTTAGCCGCTTGAAATATAAGCACTGAACTTTTAACGCTTGAGGTTTTCGGCCGAGAGGTTGATTTCAGGCAAATCCAAGGGAATTTTGGAGACGTAATATTGAAAGATCTCGGAAAATCTACCGATATCGATGAAAATTTACTATTATTGCCGTACAGAAGCTCAACCCCAAAATGCTAGGAAGAGGAGAACTATTCTGCCGTGCTAAGGAAAAACGTCGTATAAACCCTCAGACGTTGCCATATTTCCTTCCATAAAAACTTAATTTACAAGGAAAATAGTGAATATTTTTTTTTAAATTTTTTCAGACAATTTTGTTCGCAATTGTATATAAGACATCTGAAAATTTCAAGGAAAAATACGAATGATTTTTCTCCAAAATACATGTTCAATTCGGGGCAATTTGGCAACTCTCGGATGTTTATACGGCGTTTTTCCTTAGCATGACAGTATTCTCCTGTCCTTTTTTGCAAAAATCTTGCAACGTTACGATCTATGAAACGGCGCATTGAACTAAACGTGACAGCACAGCTTGAGAGCAAATGTTTAACTTTCCAAAGCCGTGCTCCGACTCAAGATTGAATATTTTCGAGCCGGCTGTGCCCGTTTTAATTGGAAATAGCTATTACTTTCGGCAAACTTTGGTCCTCCGTTGCGGGCTTCCTCGGGGGTGCATTGCCAAAGGTCTCATCCCCGGCACGGTCTAACTGCCGCAGGTACGGCAACGCGAATCGGTTAAATTAATCGGAAATTTGGCCGGGCGGATTGGATGTTTATCGTCAGGAACTGCGAAGTTGCGAAAAGACGGATTTTCGGATTTGCAGATCACAGTCTTTTCTGGACCTTGTTGATCTTGCGCTTTTAAAATTTGGAATAAGCGAGGCGAGGGAGGATGCTTGGGTAATCAGCGCGATTTGATCGATAGATTTGAATCAATAATGAACACGTTGTCTAACGAGGAATCAAACTGATTTGAAACTGAAACTTAAAGCCCGTAACCTACTGGAGTTGAGCCGACGATCAAACCAGTTTCGACCTAGTAGTTTTTTCTGATTTTCTGATTTTCTGATTTTAATCCAACCCTCGTTTGACAAGAAAGATTTTTGGCCACGTTTTGGAATACTGAGTCTTTTAAAATTGGACGTATTTCTGCCAAATGAAACTATGTGCATTAAGACATGAATCCTGAGGCCCATCATAATAAATGCATAATAGGGCTCACGTCCTAATACACATAGTTCCGTTTGGCAGAAATACGTCCAATTGTGATTAGGAATGATCCGATTTTGGGACTTTTATATCGATGCAAGTTACAATTTTCCGTACTTACTAATTTTGATGATATGGTTGTATTTCTGCCACACGGAACTATGGACGAGTGGGGTAGGAGGGGTGAGCTCGAAAAAGCTTCATGAGAAACAATGTTAATGTGGATGCGATTCCCTTTGGAGAAATGGTAAAGCGGGATTTTACATTCTGTCAAACGGAACTACGTGCCTATTGAATGCGGCACTTATGAGCCATGGACATGGGAAAAGAGCGTGGTGGACAGGGCTCATGAGTTAACGACGACCAAGGGCGATAACGGAGACGGCACGCTGACGTCACTGGCGATTTATGAATCTCATTCATTCTTACGGCCCTCGACTAACAAGCAAATTCCTTCTTTCCGACTTGTCTCCGGTTCCATTTGGCAGAAATAATTCCATATAGCATCAAAATTAAGACAAAATCCTCGTTTTTAAAGTCAGAACTACCCTATCCGCTCTTTGGATGATTGGTGGAATTTTTGAATTTTGTAATTCGGATTCCTCGGAGTATATTTCCTAATCGCGCGTCCCAGCAGTCTAGAGTTTTAGCACTCCCACTAAAAAAACCGAAGAAAATGGCTGGATTTAAATGCAGAGAACAAAATGTTGCCACTTTGCTGGATCCGCCAATGAACTACCACCCTCGCCATAAAAGTCCATCCAGTCCGTATGCGAGGCTTTTAAATATTACGGAATCCTTTCGACGGGTGACGCAGCTCGCACTGTCAANTAAGTCCATTACTTAAACGTCCACTAAGTTAAGTCCACAAATGTAAAGTCCACTAAAATCAAATTCAAGCGTCATAATTTAGTCCGTGTGTAAAATTATATTGACAATATCGAAATGAGAAAATTAAGAGAGAATGAGGTGTTGTTATCGTAACTCATATTTTAAATGAAATGTTAATTTCTCCTTTTGATTCATCTTTTCAAATTGTCTTTGATAAATACTTGGTTTCATTTCTATCCTTGAAATTTCCGATATTAAATATGCTTTAAATGTACATTTTTTTTTAAATGAAGTTGATTACTTCATTTTAAAAACATTTACATTTTTAAAACGTGGTAAATATTTGTAAAACCTTTTCCAAGCAATGGCATCAATATGAATCTCAATGAGCCGTAGTTGTGATGAAAGGAACTGTACAAACATTAATAAAAGAGGAAAAAAACTAAGAAGCACGCAATTTTTTGTTTTTATCGTATTTGTACATCAACCTCCTTGTGTCAAATACGTCCAATTTTAAGAGTTCATTTGCGCTTACACCACGCTGCAGCACAGTAAAAGCCCAAAACATAAAAAAATAAATTTGAATGCTTTCGAAATCATTAAATTTAACACGGAGCCACTATTATATTTACAAAGAACACGTTATGTTTTCCAGTAGTACATATTTCTTTTTCATCAGTTTAAAAGGGAATAATCAATGCAGAGAGTGCAAACATTTCAAAATCATGAGTTGAAAAACGCTGACTCCGCGAGTTTAAATATTAGAGCCTAACACAGAGCGGAGCGGCGTGATAGCAGCGCAGAACGCGCACTGGCCCCTACAAACCTAACGGGATACTTCACGCATTGCGCGACGCGTGAAGTATCCCGTTAGGTTTGTAGGCGCGCATGCGCGTGTCACGCTGGTTGCCTGCCGCGCCGCAACGCTTTAAGCAACTATTTCGCGTCAGAGGCGTTGCACAGTATCCTACAAGATTGAAGGCGCACGAAATAACTAGTTAAAGAGGACTTTAAATTTTGACTGCATCTGTCACTGAAAAATGTTTAATTCGGCATTGGAGCGTTTCCTGGGCTCCCGCTTTGGTTTTCATCTTATCATATCCGTACAGTGTACACATGAACATATGTTTTTATCTGCTCTTAGAGTCTGTTCTCTTTCATGACTTGATTCATGAATGAAATGTCTTTAAGAATGAAGGTAGTAGTAGTATGCATTTATTTTTGAGGTTGCTCCTGTCATTTAAATAAGAAGAAAAAAATGTGGACATAACATGTCCACAATTTGGACCATTTTGGACATATTCATGGTTGGACATTAAATCATGTAGACTTAATAAAGACTGGACTTAACGTTTAGTGGACATAAATAGCGGTGAACATTTCTTTAATGGACGAAAGGTAGGTGGACATAAAGTCCTGGAAGCGATTTTGGGACTTTTATATCAATGCAAGTTACAATTTTCCGTACTTACTGATTTTGATGATATATTCGCATTTCTGCCACACTGAACTAGGCGAGTGGGAAAGGTGGGGTGAGCTTTAAAAAGCTAGCATAAGAAACAATGTTAATGTGGATGTGATTCCCTTTGGAGAAATGGTAAAGCG